CAGAGTGGGCCATGACTGTGTCACTGGAGGTGGGGGTGGCTCTGCCCCAAGCAGGCCCTGTCTCCAGGTGGAAGCCTCTCAACTTTGGCTCCACCAAAATCCACCCAAGCTCCTATTTCCAGTTCCTTCTACCCCCTAGTTGTTATTTATTGAGCACAAACTATGTGTAAGGCACCAAGCTCAAAGCTCTGCAGAGAACGCTCCAATCCTTCCAAAAACAGAAAATCTCTATGTATTGTCTCCTTTTTGCAGAAAACTGGAGGCTCTCACAGATGGTTATGGTGGCTTGCTTACAGGAAACCTGCCCCTACCTCCACACGGCAGCCAGGGCGGGTCCCCCTTTTAATACCCAGGTCAGGTCTCATGACCTCCAGGCTCCTGTGTGGATCACCTGCTCCCCTGTCTGGGAGGGTGGCTGGCCTGGGTTCCCGGGGAGTGGCCCTGCTCACCTGAAGCAAGGGGAAAGGTGCACAGACATGTTCTTGTGACGCTTCTCGAAGCGGTTGTATTTTCGGATGTAGTGAAGGTAGTCTCGGCGGATGACGATGGTCCGCTGCATCTTCATCTTGGTCACCACGCCTGGGGGGATGGGGCAGATGCTGGGTCAGGCCCCGTGGGAAAGGGAGCCATGAGCAGGGCAGGGCATGCTGAGAATCAGGGAGCCCTGCTTCTGGCATCATCTGTACCAAGCAACTTTCTCAGCAATGCCCGTGGTGGGCATCTGAAGACCATCGTGAAAACAGTAGACATCATCTGCCAGTGCTGCCCCCAGTAACCAGGAGTCTGAGTGTCCCCAGCCCCTCCTCCCTCAGATCCAAGAATCTGAACCCAAGCCCCCAAAGGTCCTCACTCACCAGACAGAATCCGCCCTCGAATGGAGACATTACCAGTAAAAGGGCACTTCTTGTCAATGTAGGTACCCTCAATGGCCTGAAAGGATAAAGATCACTGAGCCTTGCACAGTAGTTCCTTAAAAAGAACAGGAGGCGTGGCCTCCGAGAGACAAACTACACTTCCCAGCAGCCACGGGAGGAACCACTCGGACGTGGGTAGGGCAACTCGATTTGGGCACACGTGCAGGGACACAAGAGTCTCATTCTTTCTCCTGAGGGTCCCCATACCTCCTTGGGTGTCTTGAAGCCCAGACCGATGTTCTTGTAGTATCGCGGTAGCTTCTCTTTGCCGGTTTCTCCAAGCAGGACCCTCTTCTTATTTTGAAAGATGGTCGGCTGCTTTTGGTAGGCACGCTCGGTCTACAGGAATGAAAAGGATGCTGGTAACCCTGGAGTAGGGACCAGCCTGGCCTGAGAGCTTCGTAAAACCCCGCCAGATCCCATCCTCTCCGGCATTTACTCCCCAAAAGCTGGCCTCCAAGGCCGAGTGGCCCAGACGAGCGTCTTATTCTCCAATACACTCATCCAAATTACCTCTAATTTAGACTCAACTTTGAACCCGGGGTTTCTTAAGCATTTACGGGCTAAAACACCTTCCACCGCCTGCAAAATTCACCCCTGAAAACCCAGAGATACAGAACCATCCCTCTAACATCCTGGACACCTTTCAGTAAGAATTATTCTCCAAGACACAAGACATCCACCCAGGATTCACTTATCTAATACTGGCGACCTCAGAGCTAAATACCAAGAGGACGGACTCCCTGGAATAGCCCTCAGGACTCAGTTCTCCCAGGATTTACCCTATGGCCTAAAGCCTCCAGAAGAATACTCTGTAAACCATGAGTTTAAGGTAATTCTAATTCCTTAAAAACTTGAGCTTTAATTACATCCCAAGTGCGGAGCCCCCAAGATTTAGAAAACCCTAATCTAAATTAACGTAGACACGCGCCCTCTGCTTGAATTAATCCCCGCGAAATCAAGGACGCCCAGAATTAACCCCGAAACTGGAGGGAGTCCCGCTCTCCAGGACGCGCCCCTGAAGACTGGAGCGGGTCCCACAGAATCAGCGTCAGCCCCAAACCCGAACCTGAATGTCCGCCATCTTCCCGGCTGCCTGAAAAAAGGAAAGTCGCGGTGGCGTCCGGGTTTCCTTATCGACTGCACAGGGGCGACAGAGGAAGTGACGAAGTAGGGGGCGGGACAACACGGTTTGGGGCGGTACTTTGGTGGGACTCTGATTGACGGGCGGCCCTACCCAAGCACGGGATTGGGAGACTGCACGGACACTGCGCCCGGAGGCGAAGGGAAGAGGGGCGGGGAAGCGGCGGGCACTATCTCGCGAGAGCCTTAGGACCTCGTTGCGGGCGGGCTCGCTAGGCACGTTAGGAGGGAGTGACCAGCCTTGAGCCTGTGTTATCGCGAGAGTCATCGGCAGTCGGTCATGTTTCTGCGGGGAGTGGGATCACGTGGGGCTTGGGGACCGCGTGGCTGTGCTCGCGAAGGGTTCAAACGCGTTGTGGCTGCGGCCATCTTTTTGCGGGGTGGGAGACTGGAAAATGTTAGCGGGTTTCATGCGGTGTAGTGACGCCATCTTTGTTAGGGGCGGACGCTGCCCGTGAGTTTTCTGTAGTTTAATGAAAGTTTTTTTCTTCTGTGACCCATTTCCTCTCCAGACAATGGTTTAGTGTGGCTGGGGGTGGAGGGTGGCGAAGTAGGGGAAAGGCCTTCTGCTGATTGTAACAGCGCGGTCCAACAGTATTTTCGCCTATAATGGAAATGTTCTGTATCTGCGCTATCCGACACGGCTGTCACTGGAGTTTGAAGTGTGGTGCGTGCAACTGAGGACCTGAATTTTTAATGTTAATTTAAATTTATTAGATTTAAATTTAAATAGCCTCATGGGACTAGTATGTACTGCGCTGGTCAGTGCTGCAGGTTTCTAAGTGCATACTAATTTGGTATTTTACAAATTCTAGGAAAGCAAAATCTAGCAGGGTAACTGCCATGTGCCCAGCATTATTTTTCCCATTTTGCAGATGAGGAAATTGAGGCATAGTTGCTTCAGGTTTCGCAGAAAATGAGAGGTAGAGATGAGAATTTAACCTGGGCAGTCTGGGTCCAGAGTTCTTAATCACCTACCTTTAAAGAAGGAACCCTTGAGTCCTTTTTACAGTCACTTCACATTTATTGAGCACCTATTGTGTACCCGGCCCCGTGCTGGACAGTGGTGGCAACAATGCGGTGTCTCACACTAACACTGACAGCTGTCCACATCCTAACCTACTTGGACCTTAATGTGAGATTTCAAACTCTAGACCTTGGCACAGAAAGGTGTCTTATGCCTCTTTCCTTACTTAAGTACAAAAAGTAAATGGCAAAAGATGAGTCTTTCTCCTACTCTTCTTCCCCAAACACCCACACCCGGTTTCCTTCTCCAGAAGCAATTGCTGTCATCCTGTTAATCAGCTTCTGATGTGTCTTCCAAACTATTCTATCTTCCATTGAATTTGTATGTGGACAGAGCAAAGTGCAGAACTAGAGGCAAAGCATGACCCATTCATTCCGCAAATGTTTATTGACAATCTAAAGGATGACTGCATTGTTTTGAAAACTTATTCTGTGCTATAATTGTGGTTATATCTTTTTAGGACAGCTGCACTGTCCAATAACACAGCCATTAGTTACATGTACTTGTATAAATTGTAATTGAAATCGAAAAAAACTTAAAAAATTCAATTTTCCAGTCATTCAGTTCATATTTCAAATGTTCAGTAACTACAAGGCTAGTGGCTTGCATATTGAACAGTGAAGATTTGGAATATTTATATCAATGCAAAAAGTGCTCTTACGAACAGAAGGCTGGGTGCATATAAGTATGTAATATATAC